GCCTGAGAACAAGTAATTTCCTGTAAAAATACACTACTGACAGTCATTTCTTGTTTGTATCCCCAAGATTTTCCTAGGTAAGTAGATTATGGTTTAATTTGCTATGTAGAATAACTTCAAATGAGATTTTACCAATCTTTCCTCACCTTATAACCAAAACTTTCTCCAAATCTTTTATCATAATGGGATGGCACATGTATTCTGACTTAGCTTTACTTCAGAGCTATGTCATGAGCACAGTGATGACATGTGCTTGGGTTCTCAAAGGAACTCACGTTTTTCATGATAGAAGCACTCTTGGAATGGATATATATGCGTTAAGATGACTCATTAAATCAATCAGTTCTGATTTGGGAGGATGGGTAAAAAACTAAAGATTGATTGTATGGCCCTCACACCGAGGTACACCCCAGCCCCTGTTTTATTTTTGAGACTGGCTCTAGTTAAACTGCCCAGGCTGGGCCCAAACCTGGGTATTGTCCTGCCTCAGCCTCCTAGGGTACTGGGAAAACAGGTTAGGGATCAAGACTTGTGCTACTACACCAGGCTGAAGTCCCAATATTCAGATCATAAAGAATATTGAGAGCTGTTCACCCTTTCTTTGAGGCTCTGTGGAAGTTAAGTTTTCTGTTTTGCTCTTTTAGGTATCCAATGAGCCTGGCAATCGCTACAACCTTCAGCTTATCAATGCACTGGTGCTCTACGTAGGGACTCAGGCCATTGCGCACATCCACAACAAAGGCAGCACGCCTTCCATGAGCACCATCACTCACTCGGCACACATGGACATCTTCCAGAACCTGGCTGTGGACTTGGATACTGAGGGTGAGTGGAGCTGCCAGTCTCTGGAGTCAAGTCCACTGTGCTTTTTGCCACCATCTAGTCACAAAAATTAAAAATTGCTATAAGCCACAAGAAAGAACATCCTGTGTTCATAGGTCTGGTTAGTTATTTTTCATTCATTTTTATGTTCAGTGCCAAAGAGGAAAAAATTACCCAGAATCCCGCTGTATCAGTTACTATTTACGAAAACGAAAGTGCTTTTTGGTAGTCTGTGTACAAACATAGGTTCGTATTACATAGTTTTAATTAACCTGTTTTCTCAACATTGGTGCCTCATTGCCAGGGGGCATATTAAATGTGAGGCATATGAAGATTACTGAGGATTTCCCTCTCTCTTCTACAGAAAATTCAACAGTATAACACAGTTTCTGTCTTTACTGCTTGTGCTACATTGCCTTTGGTGCTCTATATTTATTCTTAGGTAATAGAGATCTCAGCTAAGTGTTAACCACTTACAGTCCTTATCTTAGCACAGTATAACTTTAGCAGGACTTCTAATTTTGCTGTGAACACTTGAACAGCTAATTAATCTTTTGAGTATATGTATTACTTGCCTGTTTTTAAAAGGGATTTGTGAGAACTTAAAAATCAAAATTTAACAAAACTGAAAGCTGGGTGTGGTGGCACACGCCTGTAATCTCAGTATTTAGGAGGCTAGGGCAGGAAGACTGCCATGAATTTGAGACCAGCCTGGATTACATGGGGAGTTCAAGGCAGCCTAAACTATGTAACAAGACCCTGCCTCAAAAATAAATAAATAATTGAATATTAATACATCCAGACCTCAACAATAGAAAGTATATCAAACACAGGCAGACAACCAAAGCCAGCTAGTAGCAATTCCAAAGTAGTGATTCTTTAAAAAGCATGGTTTCAGACCCATTTTAGGGTATCCTCAAGAACCTTTGAGGAGGCCTGTGAGGTGAAAACTATTTTCATAATAGCAAAGCACATTTAGTTTCATTGCTCTCAAAGAGGAATTTTCCAGAGACTACATAAAATACATGAAATTCAGTGTTAACTTACTGAATGCAGAGGCAGAAATGAGAATCTACTGTCTTCTGTTGTAACATTAAGGAAATTGCAAAATGTAAAAGTGACAGTGCTAAAAAGTTTTTTCAAATATTAGTGTGTTACTTATGTCTATAGTGGGTCTTTTATAGTAAAAACTCAGAGACGTTGGGGGAAGGGTTATAGTGGTATACACCTATAATCCCAGCACTTGGGAGGCTGAGGCAGGAGGATTACTGTGAGTTGGAGGCCAGTTTGTACTACAAAGTGGGTTCAAGGCCAGGCTGCACTACAAAGAGACCTTGAAGTCTTTGCAGGC